GAGGGAGGGGGAGGGAGACACATCAATTGGCTGTCTCCCCCATGCTCCTGGACTAAGTGCAGGGATCAAACCTGAAACCCAGGTACGTGCCCTTGACCCTAGGAATCGAACCTGAGACCCTTAGGTGCACAGGTCAGTGCTCTAACCACTGAGTCACACTGGCTAGGGCTAGTCACTATTTTGAAATAAGAAAATATAATAGCAGAAAGAATAATTTTTAGTGCTTCTATCAGATTTCTTTTGTAAGGTTGGTTGAGGCAGGGCCTTATGGAACCATCCAGAGAGTGTTGGCATTCATATTGAAGAAGATCCACCTCTCCCCCAACCCAAAGAGTGGTAAGGGTGTGGGGGGAGGGGCACTCTCAAAGTGTGCTGATGGGAGCATACACTGGTACAAGGTTGATTTGGACACATGTTTCAGAAGCCCTCAAGAAGTACATGCTCTTTGACCAAGTAATTCCACTGGTAGAAATTTATCCTTAGAATTACATCTTTGCTCTCAAAGGGAAAAGAGGCAATATGTCTTTTGGGACACAAATACTAATAAGCAGTATCAACAAAAATGAAGAAATGCAATGCTTTCTCTACTTGCTCACAGTCCCACTGACTTCAGCAAATACCTTGGCAAAACTTTCCAGAAGTGCAGAAAAACACATTTGGAGAATCTCACTTCTGGTAGATCAGGTACACCAGCAGCCCCACAAAAATTAAGAAATGTTCCAAAACCTCCCCTATGATGGCACTGCAGCAGATGCTGTTGTGGGCCTTGCCTGGCCCCTCTGCGGGCCTCCTAGGGCATGGCTGCTCAGGAGGCCTGACAGCCCCCTTCTGGAATCACCAGGTGGGTTCCATTTCTTTACACAATTCTCTGATTCACAAGCTTGGAATAAAGTATTATATCTAATACTATTATAAGAAAAGAAATTTATCCTTAGGAAATAAACAAATAATTGGCTTGTGAGAAGTGTGAAGTATGAAAAATGAGCCAAGTGTCTCCAAAGAGGCACTTGATTAAACAAATTAGGATATGTCTACACATTTAAACATTGTGTAGCTCTTGAAAACATTGATGGGCATTTACTCTTATTCACTTGGGAAAAAATCAGTGTATAATCTTTTTTTAAAAATGTACCTTTATTAATTTCAGGGAGAGGAAGGGAGAGGAAAGAGAGTTGAAATATCAATGATGAGAGAGTCATCATTGATCGGCTGCCACCTGCATCCCTCCGACTGAGGATTGAGCCGGCAACTCAGGAATGTGCCCTGACCGGGAATCGAACCTCAGTCTCCTCGATCCTAGGTCAATGCTCAACCGCTGAGCCACGCCTGGCCAGGCCAATGTATAATCTTAAGTGGAAAAGTCAGTTAACCACTGTATACACAGTATATTCCATTTTTAGGAAATATAAAACCTTTACATGCATTAAAACTTCTGAAAGGCTATATATCAAAAGAAGAGTGGTTATGAGTAATAGGATAATGCATGAATTTAATATTCTAACCTTTTTCCTCATCTGTATTTTCTCATCTGTAATATATAGGGTGTCCCCTCAAAATGTATACACACTTCAACAGCTGATAATTCACTTAATTTTGAAAGTGAACTGTATGTCAATAAACACTGACTTTATAACCATTCAAAGTGTGTATACATTTTTTGGGACACCCTGTATGTTGATTTTTTGGTGTAATTGCTGGGAAAGAAAAATGTTGATTGCAGGCTACATTGGAAATGAAATGAAGAAGATGATAGAATGGGAGAATGGGTAGGGTTTATACAGTTTTGTTTGGAGCACATACTGAGTGGAAAAGTTTTAGACCAAAAATGGAGATGTGTTAAAATGATAGATGAGTTGTCAAGATGTGGATAATAAGTGCTTATATCATATGATTAAATGAGACAGTGCTTATAAGATGCTAAAATAGTGCTGGAACATAGCAGTTAATAAATAAAAGTGAACAACCTTAAGTAGCTAAAAGAGAGGATGGGTAATTTTTGGTTTTCCTTTTTCTTTTTAATTAAAAAATTTTATTTTAATTCTCACCCGAGGACATTTTTTTCTATTGCTTTTTCAGAGAGAGTGGAAAGGGAGGAGAGAGAAAGAGAGAGAGAGAAAAAGAGAGAGAGAGGGAGAGAAAAACATTGATGTGAGAGAGACACATCGATTGGTTGCCTCCCACACACACCATGATCAGAGCCAGGGATCAAGCCTGCAACCGAGGTACGTGCCTTTGGCCAGAATTGAACCTGGGACCCTTCCGTCCGTGGGCCGACACTCTCACCACTGAGCAAAGCAGGTTAGAGCTGAATCTCCTTTTCCTAAGGTGTCATTCTGCCATACACTAGTGGCATTTCCCCTAGATTTATTGAGATATAATTGACATATAACTGTATGTTTAATGTATACAATCTGTTGATTTGATACATTTCTATATTGCAAAATGATTACCACCATAGCATTAGCTACTACCTCCATTCTGTCACATAATCACAAATTTTAGAGGGGGAGTGAAAACATTTAATATCTACTTTCTTAGCAACTTTCAAGTACATAATACAGCAGTATTAGCTATAATCACCATGCTGTATATTAGATCCCCAGCACTTGTTAATCTTATAACTGTAAATTTATACCCTTTAATCAATATCTTCCCCACATGCCCCCACTCCCCAGCCCCTGGTAGCTACCACTCTTACCTCTGTTTCTCTGAGTTTGGCTTTTTTAGAGTCAAGATATAAGTGCTATCATACAGTATTTATCTTTCTCTATCTGACTTATTTCACTTAGCATAATGCCCTCAAGTTTCATCCAAGTTGTCACAAACAGTAGGATCTCCTTTTTCTCATGGTTGAATAACATTCAATTGTATATATACACCACATCTTATTTATCCATTTATTCATTGATGGACACTTAGGTTGTTTCCATATCTTGGCTATTGTGAGTAATGCTGCAATAAACATGAAACATGGGGATGCAGATATTTCTTTGAGAATCTCATTTCATTTCCTTTAGATATATATACAGAAGAGGGATTGCTGGATCTTTGGGTAATTCTATTTTTTTATTTTTTGAGGCAGCTTCATACTGTTTTCCATAATGGTTATACCAGTTTACATTCCAACCAATAGTGCACAAGAAGTCCCTCTCTTCATACCCTCACCAACACTTGTTATCTTTTGTCTTCTTGATGATACCCATCATAACAGGTGTGAGGTGATATTTCATTGTGGTTTTGATTTGCATTTCCTTGGTGATCAGTAATGTTGAACACCTTTTTGTGTAGCTGTTGGCCTCATGGAATTTAATAAATAAACTGTTGAAATAAATCTTCTGAGAAATGGGGTCTTTGTTTATTTCTAAGAACTGAAAATGTTTCTTCAATGCAATCTCATAAATTTTTACAACATTCCTGATGCCTGGGTGATGTTATTGTGGTTTAGAAATGAAGCCAAACCATGTTCCTCAAAGTAGGATTGGTAGAATTCTGGGAATACATGCATGGGTTTTTGGGTTTCACAAGTTCCCTGTAAATGTTTTTTAAGTGTTTTTTGTTTTGTTTTTTTTGTGTTGTTTTTTTTTTTAATTCATTATAAATATACTCTGTATTTTCCAGTGTCACCCAGTGTCTTGGAAGCCAAATTTTGTGTTCATGGTAAAAATTGTCATGACACTAAGTAACACTACTGTATTCATTGATCACAAGATAAACTTTTCTCCCCCTGCAGTTTACTATCTCTGAAGTTATGTTGCAGCTTGTAGTTGATGGCACCTTAGCACTGTGTCACAGTTTAATTAGAAGTATTTTTTGTTTCTTAGTAGTATATAAAATGATGTATCTAATAATCAAAGGCATCTTAAATTAATGAAATTCTGTTTCTAGTCAATCAGAAAAATGTGAAGATGTACTTAATACACAAAGGATGCATTTGCTCCATAAGTACATCATTTTGTATTAATAGAGGTTTTGCAGCCATTTGAGTTAAGAAACTGGTAAAAAGTTGAGGGAGAGTCATCAGGCTCCCCCTACAGAAGGAATGTTTAAATCAAGAGAATCTGATTTGTTGCCATCAGTACTGTATTTGTGTTGTGGATTGTGATTTAAAGCCACCAAAGCAACATTATCAGTATCATGGAA